TTTGAAAATGTTTAGTAAAGCTATTAGTGTGTGTATGAGTGTCTATATATTTATTATTTTACTAGGGGCTGAACAAAAAGAAATCAGTTAAAACTGGTACAGAAGCAAATCAGCCATGAAGAGGGCAAATGCCCAGATTCCAATGAATATCAGCTTTGGAAAATAGTTATGTAACAGAGACACAGAAACTGCTTCCTTCAATATTTTAAAGGAAACTAAATACCTTTAAAAAAAATAAAATAAAACTAAATACCTGTCCAGAGTTGGTTAAATATATTTACAAATGCAAGAAAATAACAGATTGCTAGGAAATCTTTTAGTCTTAATAGAGGAACATTTTTCTCACTCTTCAAAATAATTTCTTAATAATCTAGTTCCTATAGCAAAAGTAAGAGGATTGGAACTAAGCAAAAGAGAACACAGAACATAGAAGTTTAGAGCTGGAAGGCTCCAATCTCATTTACATATGGAAAAACTGAGGCCCAAAGAGTGCACTGATTGGACTAAGGTCATAGAGAGTGAGAAATCAAGGCCTGGAAATCAGATATCATGACTGGCATTCTAGTGGTACTCTATCATATAACGTGCTCTCTCTCATACTAGTATCCAGAAAAATTTTCTTTATAAAGAGAACAAGGCTAACAAAATTTAATTTCATTAACGATAGTTCTACATAAGGAAGAATAATATTAAATGATTACTGTTCAATTTCAAGGATTCTTTTACTGTTATATAACAAATAAGACATGATGCATTCAAGGTGATTTTTCCCTCTACACGCTATTTTTTCTTTGTTTTCTGTATAATTTACTTATTATTATACAAATTATTCTCTTCCTTGGGTTTATTCTTACATTGATTTCCTCCTTTTCTTTTTTTTTTTTTTTTTTTTGCGGTACGGGGGCCTCTCACTGTCGTGGCCTCTCCAGTTGCGGAGCACAGGCTCCAGACGCGCAGGCTCAGCGGCCATGGCTCTCGGGCCCAGCCGCTCCGCGGCATGTGGGATCTTCCCAGAATGGGGCACGACCCATGTCCCCTGCATCGGCAGGCGGACTCTCAACCACTGCGCCACCAGGGAAGCCCCTCCTCCTTTTCTTAGGGCAACACTCTCCAGAGACACTTTCTGAGATGGACAAATTCTGGACATCACCTTGCCTCCCTTTCCCTTCCCAAGGACACGACTGACTCGATTAGGGACGGTCACCTGACCAGAGGTGTGGCCAGCACGTAGGTGGGCCTGTAGGCTGAGGTGGTCCGGCATGAAAAGCTTTGCCAGAGCAGAAACAAATGGGGACCAGCATCTCCCCATTAAGAATTCTAAATGAGGAATACAGCAAAGGCCAGGCAGTTAATATCAAGAAAAGAAGCAGACTCATATAGAATCCATGTTCACAATGAACAAATCAGGGACAGGCACCATGAATTTCTGCTGCTGAGTTGAAGACTCATGACAAAAATAATCAGGCTCTAGGACTACCTTGGGATGTCAAGTGACCTTCCATATCGGCCTCCACAAAGCACAGCTATACGGCTGTCTCTAGAATTCCTGTGAAATTTCTAGCTCCTTCACTGCAACATGTTACATGGTCTCCCTGCTTCTACCCAGAGTTATCCTTTAAAAACCTAGGTCAGGTCAGGCCATTACTCTCCTCAAAACCCTCTTACAGCTTCCCAGCTCACTCACAGTAAAAGCCAAAGTCCTACCAATGGCTCACAATTCTCTGCCTCCAGCCACACTGGCCTCTTTGACATTCCTGGAACAGACATTTGCTGCTGCTGCTGCTGCTGCTGCTTCCCGTTTCTAACAATGTTCTTCCTCCAGTGGACAACACAGCTCACTCTCACACTTCCTTTAGATCTCTGCTCACATGTCACTAAAGTCAGGGAGGCCTTCACTGACTATGTGATATGAAATAGCAACATTCCCTCCCCAGGACAGATCACAACCTGACATTTTATGTATGTATGTATGTATGTATGTATGTATGTATGTATGTATGTATGTATGTGTGTGTGTGTGTGTATATATATATATATATATATATTTTTTTTTTTTTTAAATTGTCTGACTTCTCTTACTAGAATGTAAGCTCCATATGCAGGCCCCATATGGACAAGGGGAATTTGTTATTCCTTTCTGGGATATCCATCTGCTATATAAAAACAAACTACATAATATTAAGTGCTATTCATTGAACTGCTCAAACCTAAGGTATTACCAAAAAAAAAGAAAAATAGTAATTCTCAATAGTAAAAGTAAAAAGCTTTCTTGATTTATCATATAATGGTAAATAGGAATAATATATGGATGGCATTTGAATTACTAGAGGTATCATCCAAAATGTATAGAGCAAAGGAGTCCCAAATTTCTCTACAAAGAGCCATGAGATCATAAGAATACGACTTTTCAATGCAATGATATATATTCTTAAGATAGTACACTTCAAAAAATAAATGCATTGGTTTATAGAAGATGTAGACTTTCAGATGATTTTTTAATCAGTGTAAATGCAGGCTCAAAGGATGTTATAGTGTCATTAAACATTAATGAGTTATATGGCTAAGTTCTCTACAACTATAATAAAAATAAATTTTGTTCCTTAAACTGGTAATGAATACAGAGGTGTTTTTATATTCTCCTCTATACTTGTTGCTGAAATATTTCCTAGTGTTTTTTTAAAAATTCAAGTCAGGCAAATTTTAATGAAAGGAATAAAGTCAAAATATTTAGTATGTGACAAGAATGAAAGGAGGATATTTTAAAAGACTTTCCTTATTGTGAGGTAGTACAAAGAAGTGGATAAGGACCCAGGATTGGAACCTTAGCTCTGACACTTACTAGCCATGTAACATTAAAATAGAGCAAATTACTTAACCTTTCTGAGCCTCAAGTTCCTCATCTATAAAATGAGAACAATATTAATACTAATCATAATGATTCCCCGGTTGTATGTATTTCAAGTTCTTAGAACATTTCCTGGGGGATAAAAAATGGTATATATGTTAAGTGTTCCTTGCTATTATTTTTTAATGTTTTAAAGATGTCTGTAGGGCATCTGGGAAGACATTTGGAGATGGGGTCTGAACTTCAAGAGAAAGGTCTGAGCTGGAAATATAAGCCGAGGCACAGGGACCTCGATTATAAATCACAGGGACACACACATACACATTCTCTCTCTCTCTTAGAACAGTGCCTAGCAGATAATAAGTACTATATAAATGTTAAAATATTAACTATTATTATTTTTGATAAGTATTTCATAAGTCAATTAAATTTAAGCTTATTAAAATGAAAGTTAACTCCTATTGCATATAGTAGTTGCTCACTAACGGTTTAATGACTAAAGAATTCTCAGTGGTTACCTTTTTTCATTCATTATAAGTGAATGGAAATTGTAAAAATACAATTTATAATTTACTCAAAATATAAATCTAAATTTAGTAGGTAAAATAAAACAAGTACTAACAATTGTGATGACAGTATTAGCTTTGACTTGAAAACATTTTCAAATTTATTTATTCCGTTCATTTAGAATCAACTTCAATATAAATGCATACATTTCTTATGCCTATGAGCCATAGAAAAACAACCCCCAGTGGCTTATAATTATCAATTATCATGTTCCTCAGAGTTAAATGTCCCTGCTGAAAATAGTCAATGGTATTTCCCCAGGATTTCTGTCTTATACTCAAAGATTTGGCTCACATACAGGGCAGAACTGGAGAGGAAGGGGAGCACTGGCCAAGTTTATTCACCATCTAAACAAAATTGAAAAAGAAGTCTGCATACCAAGTGGATGGTTTAAAATGAATTTGAAAAATCTGCTACCCCTAACATGCACTAAATATGCATGTACGGCAATCTAGCAATTGTTTCTGCCTCAAAATGTTTGATTTTCTTTCACATTATAGCTAGACCTACTTAGTATTCTTCCATCGCAGTCCCTTACCTGCAGCAGAAACCCAGTAAAGCACAAGAAGAATGGGGGTGGGGGTGCTAGGGTAATTAACAAAGCTAAAAAGTACCCCAAGGCACAAAGATAGAGGACAGTCCCCCTCAAAGGATGGGGCAGGAAGTGGGGGTGGTCCCTGGCCTTAAATTCGGGTATACATATAGCATCAGTTCCCAGGCAACAAAGACAGCCAAAAAAAGCTTTTTTGGCTCTAGGAATATTCCTAGAGTGAGGGGAAAGGTGACTACCCAGCCAACCGCCAATTGAATCAACTTGACAATTAGGAAAGTGACCTATGAAGTCATAAATATCAGATTTTAATCTCAGGCTTCCAGCATTTGTATAAGTGATACCACAAAAGAATATTACGTCTCTTAGACTATTTCTTTCCGCACTGACATCTTGAGGAAGAAATATGCCCCTCATCTGTCTCTCCTTCAGTATGATTTTCCCAGGGCAGGCAACCTTTTTGACAAAGAGTAGTTCAGAATTTCTTATGTTTATGAAGACTAGAATTTGGAAAGATGTCTGATAATTTAAATAACAAACACGTTCATAGTATGTTAACCATTTGTGGTTTTCAAAAGAGTGTCATTTATGACTTCCTTGCTTTTGAAGGGAAGAAAAGTTAAATTTATGCCTCAGGAAGCTTAAGCAAGAACTGTTGATAAGTTTTCCTAAGAACTGGCAAAAAGAGGCCACATTCTAACAGTATGGATTGTTGGCTTTTAAGAGATTTTCTGTTTTTGCACCTTCTTTTTGTGATTGAGACAAGTAATGCTTTTCTCTTCTACCTATATGAATGTATATATTTTTTCTTTCCACTAATGTAACAGAGATAGTAACTTGAAAGATACCATCTTCAGTGTATGTACAACTGAGTGCTTAGTGTGTTCAATTATTTAAAAGCCTCACATAAGTCATATAACCTATACTAAAATGTATTATTACAAATAGGATGTATGTTATTGATATCATATAGAGAAGAGAAAAAATTATTCTGGATAATTACAATATTAATATTCAAAAACAAAACTATAGGCTTTTCAAATGAATTTAGAAAAATATCACACAGGGAGGTAAAGATTTGCAAAAGTGCTTTAATAAAACGTTTAAATAAATTTTGGTTAAACTTGCAAAGTTTAATAAAATTCCTATTATTACTTTTTGTTTGTCTACCCTACAAGAATAAAACCTTCTTATACATAAAACAGAGCATTTAGTACTATAAATAATACATCAGAGCATGAAACTTACAAAAAGTCTGGTATCTGTACTATGCAACTGCAAGAGATTGTAATTTAATCCAAATATCTCCATATTGTATTTGAAACAATCATTAATCATATTTTAAGAAAAAAGTCAAAGCTGACCCTCCCATTTAAACATAGTATAATCTTATCTTTTAAAAAAGCATAAACCTACAGTGTAAGAGCAAATCACTAAATGAACATTTGAACTGAGTGCCTGAATTCATAAACTGCTATCTTTAGCACATCTGAATTAATCAACTACTATATTTAGCAAGAGATACTAATATGACTATAATATGCTAAATCCAAACATAGAAAATAAGTCTAATGTAAAAACAACAGAATATTTTTTTGTCTCTTAACTGGCTCCTTGACTGCATCTACTTTCTCCTAATATGTAGGTATTACAGAAGAAGCTCCCATGCAACTAATAATTTTCAACTTTTTCTATACCTTTTCTCCTCCAAAATCATCTGTCCAAGAGTGTTTTCATTTGCTTGCTGGTAAACTCTACAAAAAGGCCAGTCAATTTATCCATCGCCATCTCCCTCTGAGCTTCAAATATAGTTAGAAAAATAGAAAAGTTCAAAGCAGTTGGAAAAGCAGTGAAGTTCCAAAAGGATGCCAGTTCCAATCTTTTGTTTAAAGAAATCTACTTCCTAAAAGTCAAACAGTCAAACTCAGTCACAACTGGAGGCAGCGTCTTCAGAAAATGAAAGAAGTTTTCACTGCTTCAATCAGCAGATTTAAAACGCTCCCCATCCACAGTGGGGTAGATGTGGCCCTTGACGGTCAGATACTCAATGGCTTGATTGATGGTCCCGATGCTCAGGTTGCTAAGCTCGGTCTGGAGCTCACGAACACTCTTGCCTTCCTATCGAGGATACTCCTGAATCAAACGCAGCACCTCCTTCCGGATGAAGTCGGGGTGGTAATCGCTGTGCATCTGGGCCTCATCCATTTCTGAGGGAACAACAGGGACACTTTGCCCAGAGGCCGCTTTATCCAGCATCATGTGCGCGTTAACCGTTTCTAGAATATGTGTGGTGAACTCGTTCGTGTCCTCCAGGACACGGATTTTCAACACCTCAAGGCTCTTCACCTCCGCAGAAGATTTGAGGATACCTAACACTTTGGCGTATACTCTCACTGGAAGGAGAGTTATCCCCTGCTTTGCTCTATCTCTGCCGACCCACTGGCGGACGTTGATAGGCTTGGTGGTCATATCATCAATCTTGTAAAGAACGTAATTTGTAGCCGTCTCTGCCTGCCTGATTATCCCCACGATAGCGACCAGGGAAACCTCGATTCCCCTAATCATGAAGACATCATCAATCACAGTGGAGGTGAGCAGCTGGTTTACACAGCAAGGTATAATATCCTGGATTCGGGACCTGTATCGTATGGACTTAAAAGCAAGAGCTACCCTGCCCTGAGACGGTGGGTCATTGCTTCCGATGGCTCCGCCTGCAGCAGAGATGCCGCCATAGCTCCCAAACCCATTCTTACTCATTTTAAGGGCAGCTCCGGCAGACGAGGGGGTGGGGTTTGGTTCCTGTCAGCAAGTTCCGCGAGTTCCACAGGCAGGCTACAACGGAATGCTGGGATTGTGACGACACAAGCAGCCCCATGCAACTGTGGAGCCAATCACCTGCCAGGATGCAGCTGTCTCTAACCAATCAAGACCTGCCATCTTCTCACTTCGCCCCACAATTCTTTGGAGCTGTCGGGTAGTGGCTCCCCTACATCTTAAAGGACCTGCGTGTAATTTCAGACCGTTCCCGGTATCTTTATAAAAATGCATTTTTACCAGGTTCCCCCCACCCCTGCTTCATTCCTAAATGTAACGACTTCTGTAGTCACTTCTAAAAGCCTCATTTATTCAACTCACTCAACCACTCAACAGCAATTTTCAGAGCAATAAGTTCAGTATACTTTGTGTGTGGAGGCGGCAGAGGCGGCAGTGGGGGAGGGGGGTATGGGGGACGACACACCGCGTTTACTGTCCACCAGTAAACTTTTGCAAATCATTAAAACCAGAAGCATTCTGGAAAAAATGTCGAGACAGCCACCTCTGAATAATTATCGTATTCAAACGCAAGTCATATCTTACCATTACCTTTTTAAATTTTTTATTGTAGAATTACACTTTTCCAGTTATTCTGCCAAATGCATTATCGGTAAAAATAAATAGTATATTTCAATTTATACATAAATTCAAATGAAACAACCGAGCTCTAAATTATTTTCAAGGCTCTGTGGATAGGTCAGGGAAGTACAAATCCCATCATATATTAGGAAAAACAAGAATAAAATCAAAATAGGGTTTCTATATACTCTTATCCAGTAATTTCTGAACTTAATATTTTAGTAATTGTGTAAGCAGATCCCAGAATATTTTCATATTACACTGAAAATCTATTTTTCCCTATAAAAACATTTTATTTGGGGTGTAATTAACTGAAAGGCTTTTTATAGTTAATAAAAGAACATCAGTTATTGGAATCCACCATTGGCAAGAACTTCTTCCTTAAAAATCCTTTGTACCTAGGTAATAGCCTAAATGTGTAGATTTTTGAGGAGTTTATTAATATTTTCTTATTTATTTTATTGGTTAAAATTAACTAATCTTGCTATCCCAAATTACATAAATATGTGAATGACATATCTAAAACTTGTAGAATACAAAACTATATTTACTTCTCAAGTTAAAAAGGAAAAATATCATAGAGCCAATGTACTTAATTTATTTTATAAATAAATATATAATAATTGTTATCCGAGTACAGATTTTCATATAAATGTGGATGTTTAACTTCTGGACCCATATTTTACATAATCAAAGAGGACCTAACCATCCGACTAATATTTGTATTCTTAGAATTGCTTGTTATTAGAGATCAGATTAGCTATATATTTTTAAATGTTTACAAACTCATAATTAGACATTGTTTTATTAACTAACATCAGACTTCTGGTCAGGAAAACGTGAGGTTAAAATGACGTAAGTGATTATATTCCCAACAATTATATACAGTACAAATTGTACGAATCATACCAAAACAGTAAAAAAGCACCTACCTGACAGGATTGCTGGTTAAAGAAACCCTCAGAGATTCTAGGCAATTAAGAAGTTTCTCATCTGAAATACCAGATCGTAATTCATGAACATATTCTTGTGAAGACAGAGTGCATTCATGTTTGCTGTTTTTCAGCCCTCCCTATTAAAAAAAAAAAAAAAGATATTATTTTAGACAAACAACAGGTTTTTTTTGTAACTTTTAAAATACAATAATGCATAGAATATGCAAATATTTTACCGTATAAAAATGTGTACAGAGTGCCAGGCGCTTAAAAACTTTTGGTCATAAAACTCACGTGGTAAAATCATGCTGTATATATCTCAACACTCTCCTCAGCCTCATTTAAAGGAAAATTACACTGATGGTACTCATAACCTGAAGAGAATATGGACTTCAGTAGCATAAAGTATCACTGACAGGGATGCTTAAATTTACAATCCAGGCATTAGGATTAACATTAGCTGGTCCTCCTTAACCCACAGGATGAACATTTAGAAGTCATCTTATTAATTTTCCTAGTTATTTATATTCTATTCTACAGTGAACAAAATTTAATGCAAAACATTATACATAACCCAAATCTACTGAAATATGTCACAATATCACCCTATCTGAAAACGAAGTGAAAATGTTTATTAAAATGCAAAACAATATAGTCTCCAATTAGTATGTTAGTTAACAAATTAGTGTAAAGCATTCACCAATTCCTAACTATTCTTTCCTAACTATGTTAATCCCATGCCGTAGTAATCTTAAAAAGCCATTAAATGCATTTATCTGATAGCGACTAGTTTTTAGCTTAATTTCCAATATTCATGGGGTTATTTCTAGAACTCATTATCTCATCACAGCTCCTTAGCTTCATCACCTTGCCATAACTATGTAAGTAGTTTGGGGAAAAGGCTGGGAGGAAAACATCATCAACACATTCATTGTACTAATAACTCATAGTTTCACATTCCAGATCTACATAATCATAACTGCCCCTTTCCAGTATTACAAATGTATCCGCCTGAATTAAAACCCTAGCTTGAGTCCAATTTTGTAAATTCATATGAATTACACTCAGTTTCTGCTAAGTATCTAAGTTAGAAGAAGGAAAGCAATTGTTTTCCAATTTGATAGAAGTTATATCATTAGAGGGCATAGAGTTTAAAAAAAAAACAATATGTTAATAATGAGAAATGGATTCCCTAGGGTTTCATACTATTTGGCTTTTTATTGAGAATGCCTCCTGATATAGAAATTGTCAATCATTCTTAATGTCTGAATTTTTAAAAATTCCATTTAACAGTAAATGTTTAAAGTCTGATAAAGTCTTCTGTACAGGAACTGTGACACTATCACTACTATAGCACTTAAGACATTGGGGCAGAGGTCATTATGTGTGTCTCTTTCTCTTCCAGACTGGGAACTCCATGCCAAGTATCTAACACAGTGATGGGGTTTAGTGAGCCTCCACAAAAATGTGCTGTTATTGAATCTGTCCATAAAAATTACAGAATAAGGAATACAATTTCATACTTTTTGCTCCCATATATTGTGTAATGGCCACAGACTTGATTTTTCTTGCTTTAGTAGGATATACAGTAGATGTTCAGGAAGTCTACTGAATGAATCACCACACAGATGGCACAGTAAGTAAAACCATCATCGTGAAATCATTTCCACATTTCTATAACTTATTTACCCATCTCAAGGCTACAGATCCACAAGGAATAAAAAACATTTATAGTATAAAATTTTGCAGATCTGCTGTCACTTTCACTTTCATATGATCCTCAAACTTATTTTCTTAATTAATGGATGACAAGGCCATACTGACTCCCCTAGAGGCTTATATATAGGGCTTATTCCTGTAGAATGACCTTTGTATTTGCTGTTTTCTCTGCCTGTAAGACTCTTACCTCTGACCTCTCCATTGCTTGTTCTCATCATTTAAGTCTCAGCCCAACAGTCTTATATAAATTTATGACGTTTACCACTTTACTTGTTTACTGTGTCCTCCTCATTAAAAAATAGGTTCCACAAATCAGGAAACTTGCCTATCTTGTTCACTACTGTATCTCCAGATCTTAACACAGTGCCTGGCACACAGTTAAGTACTCAGTATATATTTCTTGAATGAATGATGGATCTATGAATGGTGAATAACCAAAGAGGTGAATGACTGATGAGCTTCAACATGCCAAAGCTTCCAAATTCAGTTTAGTTTCACTTCAGAATATTACAGTCCTGAGACATTCCATTATAATATATTCAGATATTCTTGTATAGAACAGGTAAACTTAGACAGTATATGGTATGCTGGGGATGGCTCAAACTGCCACTGGGTATGAGTCATGGCCCTTCACCTACCTTCTAGGTAATCTTTGATCAGTTGACTGAACGGATTTCTATAAACCTGTTTGCTCATCCGTGACACAGGGGTAATAAACACTGACCCTTCATATTTGTTATGAGGCTTAAGTAAAACAATGCATACCAAGTGCCAAAAACAGGCATTTCATATGTGTTGTCTCATAGACAGAGTAAGATGCTCAGAAAATGTTAGATCCTTTCTTCTACCTGGTTGTGCGTGAGATATTCTTTATGGAACAATTGGGCCAGCCTATCACCTTGGGACTCACCCCTCATCCAAGCCTTAGAAACTGGTTTAAATTACATAATTGAGGATACTCTACAGTTATAAGGAATGGAAGCAACAATGTAATGGAGCAAGACAGAAGATATATAACTTTAGAGAACAAATGCCTTTTATCAAGCTTAGGAGGACTTTGGGGTTTTAACATAACCTCATATTTGAAAATTATGAAAACATGATAGCATGGAAAGGCTGGACTGGCCCTAAAAGACCAGCTGTTCTAATGTTCTCATTACATAAATAGAGAATCAAGTTGATTTCCCAAGTTCACGTAATTAGTGAGGTTGCAAGAATAAAACACTAACATGCTGGTCCTTGGGTTACTTCTTTTTTTTTTTTACTGTATGTCACCTTTTCTCAATATTGAGTAAAAAATTAAAGCAACAAGTATTTAATTCTGAAATCTCTATTACAAAATGTCAAAGTATCTTCAGCAAAATCAATATGGTACAACATAATATTAAAGAAATCACCTAAAAACAAAAGAGTGCAATAGATTAAACTAATTCTCACTGTACTTAATAGGGCTGTAATACAACAATGGCTTATCATTAACATCCTGTTCTGATACTGAACAAAGGAAACAACTAGATAATGGGTGGATAATAATGGAAATTTTAATTTGCTGCTCTGTATGAGATTAATGAAAATAACCACTGTGTCCATTTGATCTTTAAAAAAAATGCAGACAAAGTTAGCAATTAGCATACATCATGCTATTGCAAAGCTAGGTGAACAAAGAGCTTTCATAATTTGAAACGATTCCTTAATTTGAAAATCATTAGAATGGAGATACTTGCCAGTGTGACTGTGTTTGTACTATTCTAAAACACTACACAAAGAACCAAAAGAAACTTCGGTCAGTTTAATAATCACAACCACCCTACACTGATATGACATGTTAGTATCAAAACCAAACATGCTCGAGATTGGTTCAAGACGGTGGAGTAGAAGGACTGCTCTCACTCCCTCTTGAAAGAGCAACAGAATCACAAATAACTGCTGAACGATCATCGACAGGAAGACACTGGAACTCACCAAAAAAGATACCCCACATCCAAAGACAAAGAAGCCAAAATGAGATGGTAGGAGGGGCGCAATCACAATAAAATCAAAACCCATAACTACTGGTGGGTGACTCACAAACTGGAGAACACTTATACCACAGAAGTCCACCCACTGGAGTGAAGGT